AGTTCCCAGGATGTACCCTACATGCATCATCTCCATGTGTCCCTTTGCATTATAAACCCACAACACTCATGACAAAGTAGAGGGCCCAGCATCTGTCTGTTGCCCCAGTACAATTATACCAGGCTCATGTTTCATCATAATGTAGAAAAGACATTCAGCAGATGGCAAATCAAGGCAACGAATCCATAGCAATAAAGAAAATGCAGAGCACTTGTTATCTTGAATACACTATGGGTTGCTCTCACTTAAGCATATCTGCATCTCACACTTTAAAAAGTTAAACAATCAAGATGTATTTTTATACGTAAAAGATTTATAATTTGATTTTCAACTCCAAGAACAACAAAAGAAAATTGCAAGAGTTCTCCATGTTTTCCTGATTAACATTCATTCTTGTCTTCCCTAAACACCCAGTGGAATAGAAAAGGTGAATGGATGCCAATATAGAAGAAACAGAAGGATAAGTCTGTTTAAAATGTTCTGCAGCTCTTGCCCCCCTAGGTAATGAGGGCAAGTTTATCAATTTTACAACCCAGTGGGAAGACAGTGAGTGTCTGTTTCTCTCCCCCTACCCTGCCATAGTCAGGATGTGAAAACTGGTTTAAGAAGTGGGGTTCAGAGGCCACACTAGCTTTTCTACTTATAATTTCAATGAGAACTTAAAACCTTGCTCCTCAGAGGGTGGATCCCACCACCAGCAGCAAAGATTGTTAAAAATGCTGACACTCAGGAAAGACTGCAACACATTAAATCCAAAAGTGCATTTTTAACAGGATGCGTAGGTGATTCTCATGCACACTGAGGACTAAGAAGTCCTGCTCCAGAGGACTTGGAATGAGCAGGTGGACAGCTAATCCCTTCCTACTGAGAATGTTTACTTGGCTTCTTCACTGCAAATAAATTTGCCACTGTTCCCAGCAATGTAACTTCTACTACACTTAGGTGAAAACAAAGCTGAACTTTGAATTTCTGTTCTTCCACTTACTAGCAAGTTACTGAACTTCTCTGAATACCAGTTTCTTTACCTTAAAAAAAAGGAATAAGAAAAAAAATATATTTTACAGGGCTACTATAAAAATTAAATAAGGGAGTAATGTAAGGATGCTCAGGAATGTGCCCAGCACAAAGATGAAAATTGCTTCCTACCTGGTAATATACTATGAGATCTCAAAACATTGCTTTAGCACTGAAAGATTAATGCCAGTTTTTCCAAAGTTATAATGTATATTTCATTCAATTCTAACTCTCTTATTTAAATTATCCATTTATATTATCCATTTAAAAATCTCAACAGATTTTTTAAATGGATAATATAAACTCAAAGTTGGAAAAAGAAATATGTTTTTTGTTGGGGAGGAGGGGGTACCAGGGATTGAACTCAGGGGAATTTGACCCCTGAGTCACATGCCCAGCCCTATTTTGTAATTTATTCAGAGGCAGAGTCTCACTGAGTTGCTTAGTTCCTCACTTTTACTGATGCTGGCTTTGAACTTGTGATTTTCCTGCCTCAGCCTTCTGAGCTGTTGAGATTATAGGTATGTACCACCTCATCCGGAAGAAATCTTCTTTTTTAAATTTTTTTTTTGTACCAGATATTGAACACAGGGGCACTTAATCACTGAGCCACTGAACCACATCTCCAGACCTTTTTTTTAAATTTGAGACAGGATCTTGCTAAGTTTTGTAGGGCCTTACTAAGTTGCTGAAGCTGGCTTTGAACTCATGATCCTCCTGCCTCAGCCTCAGCTGGTGGGATTACAGGCATGTGCCACTGTACCTGGCAGAAGAAGAAATATTAACCAACACAAAAAATGCAGATGCTAAAAAAAGAAAAGAGAATTAGAAAAGGAATATAAAAGGACATATACAGATCTATGGAAAAATTATATTAAAAGGAATAAAAATTTGGTTAACTATTTTGAGTACTATATAGCAGCAGATAACATAAAATCAGAAATAAACAAACATCAAAACTAAATAATAAATATAAAATGGTTAATGAAAATGAAATGAAATCATATACACAAAGAGTATGCCTATATAAAATGATGCTCATGCAAACTGGTAGCGGAAGAGGTACAAAATAAAGTAATAATGAGACATCACTTTAAACTTTTCAAATTGTCAAAAATTAAAAATTATTACATTGATAAGATAGCAAAATACACAGGGTGTGGTGGCACACTCCTATAATCCCAGCAGCTCAGGAGGCTGAGGCAGGAGGTTTGCGAGTTCAAAGCCAGCCTCAGGAACAACAAGGCAGGCACTGAGCAACTCAGCAAGATTCTATTGTAATGCAAAAAAATAAAAAGAGTACATGTATAATGGCATAAGTTGGTGTGAACATACTGTATGTACAGAGATACGGAAAAATAGTGCTCTATATGTGTAATAAGGATTATAATGCAAAAATTAAAATAAAAAATAAAATACAAAAAAGGGCAAAGGATGTGGCTCAGTGAGGATGTTGCTCAGTGGTTGAGTGCTACTGAGTTCAATCCCCATACTTCCATCTCTTGCCAAGGGAAAAAAAAAAAAAGTTTTGTACATGTACTAAAGTATACTGATGCTTTTACTCCTAAGGTATAGATTCCCAGGATAAGGTTGCTAGATCAAAGGAATTGTAGTAGTGATAGAAGTAGCAGCAATATTAATCATAATAATAACAAATACTATTATTAGTACCAAAAAGATAGTAGTAATCCATTCCTGTAATCTACTTGAGCATCATCAGTACTGTAGTAATTACAACTGTGCCTACTGCTATCATATAGACAGCACCTAGTGCCATGTTCTAAGTGCTACATATGTTAGCTCTAATCCTCACAACAATTTCAAAAAATATGGACTATTACATGTATTCTGAATAGATTAGATGCTAAATATTCCTTGTAAACATAATAAAAGTATGTAAGATTTTTTTATATGTTAGCTATGTTTTGTTTGTTATATATGTTAGCTATTTATCTTGTTTTGTTTTTGTTGCTATTATTATTACATAGCTTTTGACATAAGAATCCCACTCCTATGGCACAAAACCAATTGAAAAAATAATTTGACAAAAAAAATCATGAATGTACATTAATGAGGATGGATATGCAGGCAGATATTTGTCAATCTCTTTGTATGAAACAAATGGAAATACAGAGATTTGTCTATAGCCACCCCATGCTGCACATGCCTAATCTCATCTGAAATAAGGGATTCATTTGCTGGAATGGAGAAGATACTAGGAGAAGAGAAGGGATGAAGAAAGAGGAAAGTGATCCAAACAAATCAACAAATCAGAATGCACACACACACAGAGTTAGGAAATTAAAGGACAAGGTAACAATAAAGAAATAGCATTTGACATCCTCTGGAGGCAACCAAGATGCCCCAAGAAGCTTAAGGAAGAGATGTTTTTAAAACAAATTTCATTTTTCTGAAGAGCAATACTTTTGTCAGATGATTTGAGTTTTTCCTCCTCTATACAAGACAGAGTAACAGATTTCCCCAAACCTTATTTTGTTATTGAACAGCAGCAAAAAATCTCAGTAATATCAAAGTTCAAAACTGAGTAAGGTTACATTTTCTAGGTGCAAGAAACGCAACTTCTGTTCCTGGCATCAATATCATTAGAATATTTGACCTTTGGCAAGTCATTTAACTTGCTCTTAATTTCCTTGCTTACAAAGAAAGGAAGTTCAGCCAGGCCATCTTTAAAGTTCCATTTAGTGATAGGATGTGATGACTCTATAATTAAAAAGCATAATGTAGACAAGTTAGAAGCTGGTAGATAGGAGTAATAATTACATATTTTAGAAGAAATACATCAAAATTTTAATCCCTTTTAGTTTAGCAGGTGATTTAATGATCCACTTAAAAATATACCTTTTTAGAATTAAAAACTACAACAAAATCATAGTGATTTACATTTCCAATGGTAAAATTAACTATCATATGTTTTAATATTCACATTGAGAAAAAACATACTATTTAAATACCTTTCAGATTATTTACTAAAGGAAAACTTAATTTGCCACCTTAAAATTATGCCAATCCATAAGGATCAGTTTAACCAAAAATGTCATTCTCTAGAGACCTTGTATAACAAACCTCTAAAAAAAAAAAAAAAAAGGCTGGTCAATGCCAGACAGCCAAGCAAATAAATAAATGCACTTTAAAACTTGTAATAGGAAATTTTGAATATAAATCATTGATATAACACACACACACACACAAGATGAAAAGGAAAAAACTGCCTGCTTGAGCATGACCTGAAGGAACATTCTAAGCTTGAATTTTCATATTTTCCTAAACTTTATAAATAATGTGATTATTAATAACACTTTATGAAAATTAATGGATGGGTATAAAGCATAAAAAGTCATTCACTCATTGGGCATAAAGATTTCCATGAGCTTGTTAAATTTTATATATTTTATTTCCTTAAATGGTTATGGGATTTTCCAAAAGCATAGACAAAATTCCTTAAACTTTGCCAATTTAGAAATAGTTACATGAAAACCACCTTTCAGACTCTATGGAATCCCCTAGAAAAATCTACCCAGTCTTTTTGATAGCATACCAAGGTAGAATTCCTACAAAAACACTAGGACTGCTTGCCCCAACCAATTTTTATAGGCTAGAATGACGTAAAGAAAAAATTTATGGCTTGCAGTTATCTAAAATTCCTGCAAACAAGCAGTTGCCCAAGCAGTGTGTCATAATTTTCTTATCTAACAGTACAAGCACGTGCATTTATTTATATCCCTAGATTAACTTCATGTCTAATTCCACTGACACTAATTTCCAAGACTGGATTTCTTTTTTCTAATTACAAATGGAACTTGAGCTAGATCAAAGACATTTTAAGAAGGTCAAATTTTACTTCTCTGAAAAATAGAGGGTGTGATCCCATGTAATTAATTAATACCCTTTGGCGTATTATCTGGTGGCTGCAGAAAACCTGGTCCAGCCGTCCCCACCTGTTGGAGCAATGGAACTATTTGACTTACCCAAAAGAGCAAATTGAGGGCGTACAGCAAGCAGCGCAAGCACTTCACGGAATCTTCTCTGGCCATTGTGAGCCTCAGGAGGGAGAAGCCCCATCCTTTCACCACATTCTACTCCCACAGGCAAAGTAGCAGCGGTCTGCAGGGGGCGGAGGACAACAGAGGACTTCTCTATACTGCGTTCCCCATCGTCAGCCCATTCGTCCTCCGCCCGCCCTCCGCAGGGTCCTGAGGGTCCCTAAGCCTAGCTCATCTGGGACATCAATTCATCAAACATCATTTGCTTAAGTCTTAATGGGAACTAAACTCCCCAAGTTCCACTCTGGCGTCAGATAACACCTGCTGGGAAGGGAAAGATTGACTCTCAGGATGAATGAAAGTGCACAGTCAACTCTGGTTCTCTGGGGACACGCGGCGGGGCCCTCTGCATTCTGATAAGACGCCCTTCAAAACCTCCCTCAACCCACGCCTCTCCTTGGGGACAGCTCAGCTCAGCACTGTCCCGAAGGTTAGAAACTATACTGCCCACCCCCGGAGACGTCACAGGCGCCACCCGCGAGTCCGATGGCGCGAGTGCCCTTCTCCTTAGGACAGATCCTGGACGCCCCCAGCTCCGCACTCCCTCTCGGGGTCCCGAAGGGCAGCGCGGAGCTGGGATTCCGTTCGACGACTAGAGTTTCTCTGGGAGAACGTGAGAAATGATGTTTTCCGTCCCAGAATGATGGATTAGCCTGGGGCTGGGGGCGAGGAGGGGGCGTCGGGGAATTAGGGTCGGTGCAGCTGTGCAGACGCCGGATAGTCATTTATACCCCCTCCCCCGACCCCGGACACGGCCGCGACCCGGCGCTCCCAGCCGCCCTCAGAGCACAAAGCCAGCGCGGTCACCGGCCCCGCCACCGCGTCCGCGCGCCCCCGGCAGGGCGCGGGGGGAAGCGCCGGCGGCGCAGTGCTGCAAAACCAGCCTTTAAGTAGTTTAGCACACAGCGCGAGGGCAGCCGCCAGCAGGCTGGTGGGACAGCGGGCAGGAAAGACGAGAGACGTGCGGCCACTCACCGTCGGCGCTGGGCTCCGTGCCCCACTCCCTCCCGGGGATAGTTGGGGACGCACGGAGGGGACTCATCGGGGTTGGAACGCTCTTCCCGGAGAGCCGAAGGGCTGCATTGACTCAAGCTGCAGACGCTTCCTTCTCTTCCTCTCCCCCCGCCGCCGTCGCCGCCTCCTGGGAAAAAGGAAAAAAAAAAAAAACGAGTCCTGGGCAGCAGTTGCTGGAAAGTCTCTGCTAAGCCACCTCCCAGCGCCGCTGTCCCTCCCAAGTCCTCGCCAAGTCCGGACAAGGCAGCAGTGGCGGCCAGGGCCAGCTGCACAAACTCTCAGCGCATGCTCGGCCGCTGGCTGCCTGGGTTGGGTCCTAGTGGGTGTTTCTTGTCCCTCTCACCCGGAGCGATCCCCCACAGGGACCCGTCACCTCTACTCAACGCGGTGCAGAAAGAGATAAAATCTACAAACTTTGGAGAAGTACTGGGGTAAACCCCTTAAAAATGGTGGTGTAGGAGCACTGGAGGCTGGGTTATAAGTATAGGGAAGCAGGCTTTTATTATATGAAAATATTTGTGTTTGAGAAGGGGGGCAAAGGGGTGGCCCAACCCAATTCCTGCAATGAGAAACTAGTTTTCACAACCTTTATGGAGCCACCTCCTGTGATTTGTCATTAACATGGTGCCCTATGATCCCTCTTATTGATTTGTTGTACTCCTTGATTTTTTAAAAAAGGAATTCTTCCCCCATTGACCTAAACATAAATATCAGAGTAATTCTTTCCAGTTTAACATCTAGAAAGAACATTTTCCAACTCTTTTGCAAATAATTCAGTTTCCAGTATTTCTACTGATTAGGGTTTTTGTTGATGTTTGTTTGTTTGTTTTAACTGAATTTATTTTGAAATGTATGCATAAAACGGGTTTTTGGCAATCTGCATTTTTTTAAACTGGAAATTCATGAAGTATCAAAACAACAAAAGGAGATTATCCTTCTAAACATCTTCCCTTTTAGAAGTAAGAAATTTCACACTTAAAGTTAAAATGACTGGATCATATTTTCCATAATTTAAAAAATTGATGGTTTTAGTCTCACAATAGTGTGCATTTCTGCCTGACATGGTGGTATCTGCCTATAATCCCAGAAGGCTGAGGCAGGAGAATCTCAAATTTGAGACCAGTTTTAGCAACTTTTTGAGCCCTAAGCAACTTAGTGAGACCCTGTCTCAAAATAAAAATTAAAAAAAAAAAAAGAAGATCTGGGATGTAGCTCAGGGGTAAAATGTCTGTGGCTTCAGTTCCCATTACTAAAAAATGAAAAACAAACAAATAACCAGTATGCATTTCTGATTGTTTTGCGCACATTATGTGGCAAATAAAACTTTACCAACAAATATGATTATCTGAAATACAAGCAACATCTATGGGAAAACCTAATAACTGGAGTCCTCTTTAAATTTTCTTTCAGGAGAAAAGGATATTGTAGTTCTGTCCATCATCACCTGTCTAGAGTCAGTTACTGCATGACCAGAGTGACAATGAGACATAGTCTTATTTGGATAGAACTAAAATTGAGACCACGGTTAAGCTAGGAACATTCTTGGTAAACAAATTACTAAGCAGTGTATAAGATAGCAAGCCCAAAAGAGCACAAAGAAGTATAAGGCATCCACACAAAACAAAAAGGAAAATGTCTGTCTAGTCATCCAACAGACAACTCCCTCCTTGGTAAAAAAAAAAAAAAAAGCAACTTTGGGAATCATGGAGAAGAGCAAAGAAAGCCATTTTTATCCTCTACCAGTTAGGTGTATGCCCATTGGAGTTTTGACTATTGAAACAAAAGAACCATCCAAATGCTGTTGGTGCCATCCACTCTTCTGAGAGATAAAAATCCCCTCACTGAGGGAAGTCTGTGACTTCCATTGAAACAGAGAAAAAGAGTGCCAGTAAGCACTAAGTCTCGGAATAGAAACCTCTTCTATTTCTAGAAGACCATCAAGTGCCTTTTCTTTAAAGGTCAGCTGCCCTAGAATGATAAAATTTTCTAGTCCAAACTGCACTCATGATTTTTCTCCAACCAGTACACTAGTTTGGTGGTTCTCAAAATTACCGTGTATTAGAATTACATAAAGAGCTTTGAAAAAAAAAAAAAAAAAAGGCTAATGCTCTAGTTTACACCACACACTTAAATCAGCATCTCTGCAGGTGTGACCTGCACACATAGATTTTTCAAAGCTCCCAAGATAATTCTAGTCTTCAGCAAAGTTTGAACCACAATAACTAGGGCTTTATAGAGGCCTAAAAACTAGAAAGAGTCTCCTTGTGTTTAGCTAGATCAAATCCCTCATCTGTGAGTTGATAAATTGGGACTATTATCCCCACTTTGCAAGTTAGGAAGAAAAACAGTGCTGCAGTTATTCCTCATATACTCCTGATAAATGGTCATCGGAGTCTGCGAATCAACATTTCAGTAGAAGAGACATCACCACACCACGTTTGAGGCATTGCAATATGGGGCAGATTTGATGGTTTAAACTTGACCATGCCTTCCTTTCACTTGTAGCCCTGCACCCTAATTTTCCCTTTGGAGTCCATAGCCCTGAGCAAGTCTTTCTCTCATAGGACAGTTCTTCAAGTTCTATAGGGCAGCTGTCATTCCCTCCCTCCCTAATCCTCCTCTTGTTCAGCTATCAATGTGCAGGCTCTATATTTGTCTCTGTAAGAACTGCTTTTTTAATTTTTTTTTCACAAAAGGAGGATAGAAAACTCACAATGTGGGAGGCATAACAATCTGCATGTGGAAGAGCACATTAGGAAAAAAATGTCTACACTATTCATTGTCTGCGTTGCAGGAACTCATCCTAAGGCAACATGTGTTTCATTAAGTGGGTGACATCTAATATACCTCATGTCGAAGAACATGCTAAGTCCCTGCCTTACAAGAAAAAACAAAACCGTTCTTTTCTGTTTATATAATGGCAATGATATTAACAAAATAGAACAAGTATTTAAAAGCAGTCTCTTTGGTGTCAGTCATAAAATTCAGTTGTGCAGTAAGGTAATACCAGTTCCTCACTCTACAAGTCACCTCATTTGTATACCTGTTATTCCACTCATTCTGCCCAAGTGTGGAGAGCAAAGGAGCAGCGTAGGTGTGTGGTTATGTGGATGAGTCCCTGTTGCTCCTTAGTATAAGACCTCATAAGTATACCTGGGACAAAGTCTTTACAATCTTTACAGGAAAGAGAACTAATAAGTTGTGAAAAAGCTGTCTGTGCCTAACATGACAGCTGCTTCTCACAAAGAAAGTTGTTAATTCCCCATAACCACCTGGTGAGAAACTGAGACTTGGTTGATTTCTCCAAGGCCACACAGATAAGTTTCTAACTCAGGTCTGTTGGGTTTTTTCACCCGTTAATCTGAATTTCAAAAAAATTTCAAATCTCAGTTGGAGATTTATTGACAAGCGCCAAGGAGAAAAGTATTCCAGGCAGATAAAATTGATTTTTGAGTACAGGAAGCTGTATTTCAAAACACATAAACTATGATTGGCAAATTTACTTTCACCTTTCACTTCTGAAAGAGTATACCCAATAGAATCTGAGAAAATCCTTTCATTACTGAATTAAGGAGACTTCACTATATGGCAAGTTTAGGATTATCAGATAAAATACTAAATATCTAGTGGGATTTAAATTTCAAGCAAACAAGAAATAATATTTTGGGGACAGCACCCCAAAATTGCATGAAACAAAAATCATATTAGACATAAATACACTAAAATTTATTCATTGTCTTATTGAAATTTATATTGAACTGTAATCTGCATTTCATGTGATGATACATTACAAATATCTGAAAAGTCAAGAGAGAAAATAAATGAGTAGATGAATTGCATCATTTCATTAATGAGTAGATGAATTGCTATTTCTAGTTTTACTGTTATATGTACAAGTATATTTGCTTGGTGTTGTGGTGCTTTCAGTGGAATTTTGTAGTTTGCATGGGAGAATGGGTGTGCATGCTCATGTACAAGTGTGTGTATTAGTCACAATCATGTATGGAAAGCTAGAAATGTGATGAATTTTGATCTCATATTTCAGGGAATGGATGCATGAATGATTAACTTATGAATACAAAAAAAAAGTTGTCAATCATCATTCAACAATTGCCATTAAGTTCTACTATCTCTGGTCCGTTTTCTTTCTTAGAAAGCACTATGAACCGTCCACAATTCACAGTAGTAAGGGAAGAGATATCATGAAGGAGACTTAAGACATCTATAGAGAGCTCCTATGGTTAGTTTTAATAACTTAAAAGCATTTCCAATATTTACTTTTTTAGCTTTATCAATAACATTATTCTGACTAGAGAAAAATATTTGGGATGTAATAGAATTAATTTAGAAAACATATGTATTTGCATAAAAAAACCTGCTGAGAATTGAATTATGCATATTTTGGTGTGTTTTCTCTTAGTGGTGTTTTATGAGTCACTATTACCTTAGCACAGGGTCACAGAGGGAAGGAACCTTCCAAGCCTGCCAATGGGGGATGAACTAGTTCTCACTTCAGGGAAGGTGGCCTAAAAAAGTGGCAGCAGACAGCATGGGCTGGAAAGTGGACTGTATGTTGACTTAGTGAACTAGGTGGCAATAGCCACTCCTCAGATCAGACATAGAGACTGACAATACAGCCACTATAAACTTGGGGTTCTTAAATCCCTTTCTTTCTCCACCTCTTCTCCTTCTAGTGTCACCAACTTGCACATACAACAATTCATTCAGGCCAATGTTCCTACATGAACTTACCGTGTTTGTTAAACATCCAAGCTTTCACAAAATTGCCTCATCCAGTTATGAGAACAGGCATGGATGGCCAGAACCTAAAAACTAGACCAATCAATTAGAGTGTGACTGGAACTCAGTGGAGACTCATCAAAAGGCAATGTAAATGCAGACAGTCAAGCGGAACCAAGTATGAGGGGAATGTGTTGGCAAGGAGTAGGTGGAAATCCCGGCAGGAAGACAGATGGCAGTGTCAGAGAGACCCAGCAAATGGTCACAGGCAGGTGCCCTGGCAGAGGGACAGAACTCAGTGTCAAAGGGGTTGGGTAGAATAAAAGATGTGAAAAGTTTCTCACAAACAAGGAAAGACCCCACTTCACACCAAGGGAATTTAACCACTCTCTGCCAAGACCCAGTCCACAAGGCTAATCCAGGGAACTGAACTCAGGGTCCTAGAAAAAGCAAGATTTAAAACCAAGAAATTCAATCCCAGAGAAACTCCTCTAGACCCTAGTTTTAAGAGTTACAGATTAGGAAAGTAGTTTCCAGACTAAGGA